CCCCCTCCCCCCATTTCCCATTAACCTATTACCGAAACGGCGGGAGGAACCGACATTACAGTACGCGAAAGCACGGACTAGTACCCTTTGAAGTACTAGTAGAGAAAGTACTCATGACTCGCGTAAATTCTATGATGGATCCATTCAAACCATTCAAACACCTAGCAACCTGACAGCCTAGTAACTTACTTACATCCCATACATCCCCATACAGGTTTATGTACGGGAAACGATCCTACATGTAGGTATTAAAATTATATAGATATTTTATCCGCGGAACAGTTTGCATACCTAACGTACGAGAGATAACCTAAGTACTATATTCATTCATTTGACGAACCGGTGGAAATGAAGACAAATGTGTGGCTATCCTTACCTTTTTGTACGTGGTAATAATATTTGTGGATGATTATCAAACATCGTGGCAGCTAATGGGACGCAGTTTGCTTCTTTTTATCTTTCTTTTTTTTTCTTCTTCCCGGCTTGACCGACCAATTCCTACGATTAGCGTGCCTCGCACGTACCAGCCATGTTTGTATGTAGATCATGTTGGTAAAAAATCATTTATGATGAGTCGTTTTTTACAACAAAATACCTGGTAAGAACACAAAATACAGAAGGGATGTACATACTGTGTGTGGAAGTCTAGAGGTATGGAAGTATCTCTCGCTCGTGATAATTCTTCAGTACAGAATAGACCACGCGGTATCCATGTTGCCTGGTCCCTACATGAGAATCATGAAACATGGATACAATTTACAGCTTCGAATTTGATATTCTCTAAAAGACAATCGTCTCTAAGCAATACTTGCACAAAATATAAGGTTCTAATATTCATACCTACTTTCTTAAAGTGATTTATATATTGTAGGAAGTCATTAAGCTTACATCTACAATAAGCCAGTCACGTAAACTTCCAAATATAGATCTCGTTTAGAAGAAGGCATGTACCATCTGCTTCGTACGTACCTACGTACCTAGTTGGAACTCCGAGGAGATATCGCGCCAAACTTCAAGGTTGTCCTGCTCGTCTAATATCTTACAATCCTTGATACAGTACCTAGTACTAAGACTTCTGTGTTTGTCACGGCTCACAAACGTTCCGGGCGATGTCGAGTATCCAGCCTGCCAGCCTGCCAGCCTACCAGTTTGCCAAAACAGGGCTATTTGAGTGGCTTATCGACTAGTATGCAAAATAATCTCATATGTACGCGCCACTCAAAGCCTTCGAGGGTCGAGTATCGAGTATCTAGGATTATCTGTGCTTCAAATCATGTACCGTTGCACTCTCGGAGTTGCTACCGAGACGATCTCCTTTTTTACTTAGTCACAAATCATCGAGTATCATGCGCGGCGTCCCGATCAAAAGCAAAAATTGGCTCAATTCAAGCTTCTTACAATCTAATCGTCGCAATGTATACGTATTAGTAGTCGTTATATGTAGCGTAGAATACGCGCCCGACGATCAGGAACCAAAGCTATCGCGTAGTAGGCGTAGTAGGGGCGTTAGAAGCTAGGGGGTAGGGGGCGAAAAAAACATAAGCTTTGGACGGGCATCGAAACCAACATCTGAACTTTGAATTCGTTGGAAGTTACCGAGGCGGTGTCCTGCTAAGTTCCAATGACACGTTGACAAGCGGCACTTAGAATGCACTCATCACCATCTGATGTCAAGATGAGACGACATCTATCCCGTTGCCGGTACTTTACTAACGTTAACCTTGATCTTGGGAGAGCCGCCCCAAGAGTCCGGGGCAAGCCAGAGACATCAACATCGCTGTTGGGATCGTTCGTTAGAATTTAGTTCGTCGATCCCTTGGTCCGTTAGTTCGTCCTACTACTTGGTATGTACCCTCAGATACTATGTACGATTTTAGTTTCGATCAGGGCTGCATCTAACATCGTGATAGGTTATGTCCAGATCATCGCCTCACACATGTACGGCCGAAACCCTGTCGGTCCTTTCCACTGGGTATACGTACTGACTCGAAAGCACCATACATCTAATTATTAGACCAGTAAAATTGCTCACCGTCCTACTATCATGCAAAACGCAGCGCCCAAAAACGCCATAGAGCCCAGGCTAGCGGCACCGGTTCTCCCAGGACCTGATGCTGTGCCTGCTATCTACTAGGTACCTACCTGGATAGGCATTCTCAGATCAGTTGGGTCTGGGTATGGTACCCGTTGACAAACTGGAGGTGATTAAGTACCTCCACAGCCTCTACAGGTCTGAGCGGCTCATATTGAAATCACTTGAAAGCCAAGTTGAGTTCCCGTATGTCTCGAATCATCATTCCCAAGAGACAAGGTTATGCAGAACTAGGCCGGTATCTGGGACCACGTGTTAGCTGTCTTGAAGCATCCTTTCCGCTCCGAACCCAGCCGCGAAATGTCTACCATGTGCGCGTATGTCCTATTAACCTAGATGATCGGCACGAAGCTCCGCCATTGGCGATAGAATGTCACTAGAAAAGTCAATATTGACACATGGAATAATGAAAGACTACAGCTTCGCCTCGAATCACTGGACGACCTACGTGCTATAGAATATTAGTACCTTACCTGCTTTCGATATCCATCATCGTGCCACGCCATCTAGGTTGAACTAATCTCATTCTAGCTAAAAAGACAAACCAGCCCGTGCTGTGTTATGAGCTCGTTATCATTCAGAAACACCTAGCGCTCTATGGCGTTCTGCCCTTACAATAACATACTTTACCTAGCAAGATGCTAGGAGAGTCAAGCGTGCCGATCTCTAACAGGAACTAGATGCCAACCAAGCACTGATCCATACATCTTACGAGCGACAGTAGCAATTTCATTCTAGCAATAGAACTCCGGGCCGCCTGCGACTTGCACCGGCTACCTACATGAGATATTCACCTACCTAGAAACAAGCGGGACTAATGAAATGACCAGCATAGCTGGTAACCCTTTTTTGCCTGCGGTGTACCATCGTTCGCTTCTTTTCTGAGGCAGCGAGTTACTAATAGGATACATCGACCGCCCCGGGTTACCTGGCACAGTCTCGTCCACGACAGATGACAGGGTAGCCGACCGTCATTCGTCGTCTTACGTCAGTAAGATTCCGTCCGATGACTATCACAGCATTGAACATGCTGACTTACAGTTGGCTATTCTATCCTACTCTGTACGCAGTAAAGTAAAATTCTACGAGTTCTCGATACTCGACGGTGCCGGCATCGGTTGTGGCATTTCCCATACCAATTCTCTGTGCCCGTGCCCAGACCACCCTGCTTGATGTCCGAGATGCGGCACGACTACCAAGGTCGTTACACTAGATCGCCTTCGAAATATCCATGTGAAAATACAGATTTCAAACCCTTACTTAATTCTAGAGAGAAAGTCTCGGGGCCGACATAGTTCAAGATGCTTGTCTGAATACATCGCCCCTTTACCCCATGCTGCTCAGCCCAGAAGTGGAATGATCCGTCACTACCATTATACTACTCGTCTACAATGTAGAGGTCGAAGTCATCCTGTCCTCCTGGCTATCTGCAGCTCTCAGGTCGCACGGCTATCTCGGTAGCCGAAACTAGTTTGTAGCACGTTATTTTGGCGGTCAAAACATCACTCACTCTCATTTCATGTGCCAGACTCCAATCATCAGCTCAGGAAAGTCATTTCATAAGACTCTAGGTTACCGAGTACTCGACTAGGCTCCTTTCACTCTCCTTTCACTCTCCCTATGCTAATAGACCCAACAAGCGCTCGTCCATAGCAACGAGAATAGTACACAGTAGTGCATTGCTTATTATAGCAATACAAGTAATTTCTTACACGCATAGGCTCACTTCAAGTGATATCCATACAAACAGCCTAGATACCTGCCGACTCAGGCAGGTAACAAGTAACCCATCCTTTCGCATCGACGTTTCGAAGCGGAGTCAAATCAACTCCCTCGTCCTGTGTCCAGTCCCTCAGCATCCCTTCTCGACTTTCGCATCTCGTACCTCTCGCCCCTAGAGTAATCCTCTTCTCCATCGGTCTCGGCCGGTGCTGCCAGTTCCTTTCCCTCTTTCTGTTGTTCCTCGACCTCGGCATCAGCTGCTGTGGCCACTCGAAAACCGGGTCGACCCATCTTTCAGGGGTTCGGACGGAGGACTCCATGCCACCCCATCGATACCGCAGTATGTATTGCCAGCAGTGGGCGAGAACACAGACCAGCGTGAGGACAACGATCACGCAGATGATGGCCACGGCCATCGCCGTGATGAATGCCTTGGGGAAATCAGCCGGTACGGGTCCCTCCGCATCCTCTTGCTTTGCGCGACACTGCCTTACGAAGACGAGAACAGAGAGGATAGCGACAGGAAGTGAAGCCATCTTTAGGGCGTAGCAAAGTTGAAAATAGCTCGCAATGATACTAGGTAAGAAGAGTGCTATAATACCCCAACCTCACAAAATTAGGGGAGAAGTCGTTCGAGGGCGTCTTAGATGATGTATGCCTAATAAGGTGATTGTTTCGACCGTAGAAGATATCATGAGGGAAATCGCCAACACAATACGGAATAAAAGGAGAACCCTATTCTTTTGAATTATCTCGAATTTCGTTTTCCTCTCCACACAATCATTTGATGCCTGCCGGCCATCCGGATACGAGCCTACAAACAGGTCAATACCAAACTCAAATGGTTATTTCGATATGTAAATCAAGGTCAGAATAAGTTTAAATCAATGTAGGTCTATTCATTTACGACTTTTAAGATTTAAAGACTTATCTGATTGGCCTCCTCACGCATAACACCTAGGATCAACCTCCAAACAGTCAACCACGTCCTGGCTTCTCGTATCCCAGAATTCGCAGCAGCAGTGAAGCCATCTTGCCCTAGAATCCTCTGCCTCCAAAACAATATCGAGTCATTTCAAACTCAAAGCTACTCCCCATAGCAGAAACCAACAAGCCGACCCCCGTTCAGCATAAGGTGAATATCCTCATAGAGGACGAGCAAAAAGGAGGTGCAAAAAGTAAAGACTGACAAGACGGGGATTCGAACCCCGGCCCCCTTCGGGAGTAGGATTCTCTTTGAAAGAGAACAAGAGGACCTTCTCTTGAATCTACCGCCATAGACCGCTCGGCCATCTTGCCTTATTCGTCCTATGTAGTGCTTGTCAAGCAAGTCAACATGAACTACAACTCCATCAATCTAGGTAGAAGAAGGAAAGACGAAGAAATTTTCCAATCTTAGCTTCGTTTGCACATTTTCTCCTTGTTCCAAGAGTAGGAGACCCGCAACACTAGGCCAAGGTACAGCCCTAAGTAACCGAAAGCAGAGCCGCAGTGGGCCAAGGGATCACCCGCAATCCGAATTCATTATTTTGATATATTAAAGTTCCAGAACATCCATGAACGATGAAAACGAAGTCATCTCGACTCCCTGAAGACTTGTCGCTAGGATTGTGTGCTTCTTATGTATAGTTAGCATCAAAGTGAAATAAATATGACGCTTCATTCGCCATTCACAGGGTAAACCAATGATAGTAGTAGTGTAATGTCTAGAGAATTCTAGATTGTCATAAGTTAATCATTCCCTTGTTGAGTCTATTCGAGGAGCTTCTTCTATTCAGCAGACCTTGTTGCATTGACACTCTTTCGCACAGATAAAGACCACTAGCTTGACCTCGTTCGATTACCCCTATCTTACTAATTGCTCTCTCATGGCTGATACGAGATACTTATACCCATACATCGTAAAACTTTTCTAAGTTATTCACCAAGCCCAATAGTAGTAGTGTATCTCTTGTTATAAGCCAAAATTGTATCTACAGCCCCTTCTATGACTAGAATTCGCCCACATTTTGACGTCAACCTCATCTCACCAAAACAATTGGAGGCGTAGAAGCGACCGATGAAGTCTGGCTGATCACTCACTATACTTACAACACAGCGCACGTATTTCAGACACCAAAATATAGAAAATGATTTGAAACAAAAAATTGAGTCTAGACGAAGAAAATACAAAAAACATGTGCGGTGTGTGCGGATCGAACGCACGGCCTTCAGATTATATGATCCTAAAGTTGAACTTCAGTCTGACGCTCTCCCAGCTGAGCTAACCCCGCTTATATGAATATCCAGTCAAAGATGCTCTATATACTATCCGACGTGGCCGAGCAAATCGTTAGACTGCCTCGCTAGTATAATGTGGAGTCTGCGTCTACTAGCTTGGGGGTCACTGAGTCATTGCATTATGTAAATATTCAAGGAACGGGAAACACGAGAACCACAGACGTTGTTGAGAACCTCATAAGTAAGCAGGTATATGTATGAACAGCGAGGGGTATTTTATTTTATCTCAACACTAGTACTGACACTACAGCTACCATTAACTATTACCGGACATGCAGTCCTCTCCTCTCCAACTCCTGATTATTACCAAGGGTATAATTCCGGGGCTCTTTCTCATCCAGTTCATCCAACGTTCCATAACGAGCGAGGGGGTATATATAAATTCATATTGCGACCGTCCAAGATCCCAATTGGATTAATTAAGATCGCATATAAGATCGTACAGTTTTCGTGACGAGGTCATAGTCATCACATCGTAAAAGAGCGACAGGCCCAGCCTACCAATAATTGACGGGGAACGAGGTTGGGAGAAGTAAGGCGAGTATGCGGAAGGATCCGGCGACTTGCGGGAGATCTGCAATCGACGTTCAACGCGGGGCAAAGTCGCACGGCCTATACTAATACTCGGTTCGTCTATGCGGCTTGCTCACCGACGACGGGTTGCGTCGGGGCCGTAGCCGTCTTCTCGGGGAATTCACCTCCCTGGTGAACACGGCCGTATCGGGTGAATGCGAGGTTCAGCTTGCCGTAGTCCCAGTTGCGGGCAAGGAACAGGAATGTGAACGACAAGAAGGGAACTAGCAGAACGTCCAGAATACCGAAGAAGATGTAAGCCGGCGTCACACCGATCTTGTTTCCACCGTCAGAAAGACCCCAGGCAATAGGGTACAAGAGCCACAGGAGGTTAACCCATCCGGATAGAATAGTGTCTGCAATATCACAGTTAGTAAAGCCTGTTTTTATTATTCTTTAAAGTTTCCCCGTTCTCGAAAGGGGATGTAAGGGGAATAACGTACGGTCTCTGGCTACACCGACACGCTTGGCAGCAGTCGAGCCACCTGCAAGAGTGCTGAATGCGAGAAGAGCCCAGGCCGTGGTGCCGAAAGCGTAGAAGCCCCATTTGTAGTTGGATGTCGTGAAGGCAGCAACGAGGTATGAAATGACCCTGGTATCGGTTAGCTACATCTATAATAAACAGGGTTATCGAGCATTTAGAAACTCACCAGGTCCATGATAGAGCAACGTTATAGGTGATAGTCGCCCACGAAACACCGCTCAACAAACCCAGAGCAATTGCGATGACAGGGTAGCTGACAACCCAGTTGACATATTCCGCCCAGAAGATTTGACGATCCCATGACTCGACAGGCTTGGAGTTGACGACGGGGATTACCACGTAGGCTAGGTCGGCAGCAATGGCGTAGTAAGAGATAGAGCCGACAAGGAGGGCGATTGTGAAGAGGTAGTGGAAGATCTTTTCACCAGATCGTGCCACGAAGCTCGTAGCAAAGAAGGCAATAAACGAGACGATGTAGATGGCTGTTACTGCCCATAGCCAGTCGCTCCCATTCACGCTTAGCGCCTCGTTCCCACTCGGGGGGTTGATGTTGAGGGCGTCGTTCGTACGATGTAATAGAATCGCCATGGCGTTGATGGTTTGTTTTGCTGATACCTACTAGGCAAGCCTGAGTGGTTCTTATTAGGGGTCGGTCACTGTCAAAGTGAATAGGGGGAAGTTTGATATAGCCTTTGGATCACGGGACTTGCTGTGATTCGCTGTGTTGCTGGATGAACGAGTAGGAAAACGAAGGTGGGCGATGCTCGTATTATAATAGAAGAAATCTACCCTTGCACGAGCATCGAAGATCCAATGCGGTAGAGTTGCAACATCGCAATGCTCGGAACCGTCATTGGCGATGACTCAATGGCCAAGGAATTGATGCGGTGGTAACTAAAGCCGAGAACCGCACGAGGTTTTCCGCTAACATGATCATATGATTCACCATCACTTACCTTTGTATAGAATCTTCCACAAGGTCCGGTAGTGTGCGAGCGGCGGATCACGACGGGAACATGGTGATGCGTTTATGGCATGGGATAGACTACATAGGTACCCACTCGGAGCTCTATTAGGAACAATAGCACGGAAGCCGACGGAGCGACTCGGCGTCTTCTGACCCCAAAACAAAGGAAACAAGGCATGGATCAAGGAGTTTTCGTTGCACATGGCTCGAGAGCCAATGTGGTCGACGATCCTTCAGCCCTAATGTGGAGGAGCTGCTGGATTCAGCAGCCATTACAATAATAACGTGGCGACTTGCAACCGGCTTAAACCGATGTCAGTATTTGGGCTAGAAAATGCTTTTGAATAGTCTGGTTCCTGCAGGAAATTCCATAATCATATGCCTTAGCGAGGCAGACAAAGGGTGGCAAGCAATTCTTACAAATTATATTAAGAGCTTGAGAGAAGAGTATTGTTAAGCAAAGAAGGGCGCGACTTTCGCCCGGGTTGGGTCAGCAAGGGCGAGTAATTCTCGGCAATGGCGTCAAGATTCTGACGGGCTAGAGGTTTTAGCTGTGAGCCTTCGTCGCGGGAATGGCGACATTGGTGTATTGGCTTCACGGCAGCATCGGATGAGCTAGCACAAGATGCACGATTTCGAAATAGTGATGGGTCTCCACCGAAGACTCGACCACATTCGACCTAGAAAAGGTAGTGGAAACACCAAATAGAGCTAACATCGTGAATCAATGCCGGAGCTTGCAGGGGGAGCTTCGACAATCGACATCCGATCAAGGCCGGTAGGGTAGGTAAGCGACTGGGCAGGATGCATAGTGGCGTCGACTTGGCGTGACGTGACGTGATTACGATGAAGATATTGTGGGAGATGAGAAAAAATCGATTTATATTACATTACCCATCACATCCAACGCGATCTTGTGTTCCCTTGAAGCTCTTGAGACGAGGGGTGTTTCTCTTTAACGACTCCAGTCCATACAAGGCCAAGATGTTGTTTTGATCGATCGCTCTAGGACTTTGGCTCTGGTTCGATTTATTAAGCTCATCTTTACTCCGATAGTTAAGATGGAGCTCTCTCGAGAGGGGGTTGGAGAATGAAACGTTTGGACCATTGAGAGCCTCATAATTGCATGCAGCTTCCCCCCGGCTTTTACGGATGGACCATTCATCGAGATGCAACGCTAGACCTGTCTTAGATAGTGATCGACGACACGGTAGTCATACCACCAGACGAGGCTTTTTTTTCTGGCTTTCTCCTTTTGTTTGCCGTTACATAGACAATACTCGAATTGAATCGAGATTGACCAATGAAAGGTAGGTCCGGAGTAGCTGGAAGTTGGTAGAAAGAAGGACAAGCTTGTTTAAACGTCCGTCCTTCGATTTCCATGCCACGTTAGTGTGGTCGGACACACGGACCATTTTGTCCTAAAAAAGGCTTAAAACAATTCTCATTAGTCGGCGCCTGCCGAACAATCCGGAGTTTTTCTTTCCTTAGATCATGCCTAACCTAATGCACCTTCCGTCCTTCTCGGACGCCTACAGAGATTCATGATGGGTCAGTCAATTGCAATCGGTCTTAAGTGGGTAGGCACGTTGGATATATTGCTGAATAAATGAATGAGGAAATAATTATGTAATCTCAAATCGATCTATCAAATCTCGAGCGCCGAAGCGAACCGCTCTTATGCAAGCAACCTAGATGGGTTATAAGACTGGAAGCAACAATAAAATCAACTACGAACCTCCAATCCATAGGTAGTAGTAGACACTGATCTTCCCTAGGTTCCCTAGTCCGATCTTCAGATGCATTGTTCTCCTCACTTCTCACGTCTCATTTCCATTCATTATTGGCAAAGAGTTCCTTACATCCCCTACATGTGGCGTCGAGGTGACCTCTCACTCGCTCGCTCGCGAACATGGGGAAATGCGGTCGCTGAATCATGCCCGCTTTGCTAAGGCATGGTTTTTACAAAAAAGTGCCCAGCAAACCATGTCACTC